AGGGCTCCTATCAGGCGTGCGGTGCCGCCCACAGAGCATCCTCCATTACTTTTAATTAATCGTGCTTTTAATTTTAATCTACCCCAAAATTGTCCTCGCCCAGCGGCATGGCCATGGCGGTTTAGAACCGGCGGAACTGCCGCGGAACCAAACTTGCGAGTTTTGTTTCAAACACAGAATTCTACACTTATAGAACGGGAACTGTACCACGTGACCTGTGAGGAATTGAAGACCGAAAACAATGGCGTCTTGAGGGCACGATTTATCGTTTTCGGAAGTAACCCAAAAGCTTTTAAAGCAAGAGCGGCTTTTATAAACGAATGAAAAGTGGAACATTTACTGTCCAAGTGTAGAATTCTGTGGTTTCAAATCAGGGCTGAGCGGGCAAAGCATTTTCCGTCTTAGTCTTAGACAGGTGAAACCCTCGGAAGGAAGCGAATTTTTATTTCCGTTTCCGCGTTGGACAGGTTTCCGTTTTATACAGGTAATTAAAGAGGAAATTCAAGGTGGGAGCGGGGAGATTCCGTTAAGACAGGTTACCGTTTTACACAGGTTTCCGTTAAGGAAGGTTCGACTGTGTATAATATACGATCGACTGAGCCCCTGTCCTTTCTCCTGGTTTGGGAGACAGTGAAGGCACCGTGGATGATTATCATAAGGATTTCAAATGTTTCAGCCCCTTCTACATCTTCATCTCTTCATACCCTGCTTTGGGGGGAGGGGGGAGGGGCTCTCGTGGCCTAGAGGTTAAGGTGTTCGCCTCTCTTTCAATAGGCAGGGTTGGGTTGATTTAAATCAGGTTGATTTAAATCAGTTAATTTTTTTTATTTAAATCAACTTGATTTTTAAAATAAAAATCAGTGATTTAAATCACTTTAAAAAAAAAAAAAATTTTATTCGGTTTTTACACATTTCAACATTCAGAATTCCTTTCCTCGGTTTCATAAAACAGATATAAGGTTCAGTAGACTAATATAATCATGCTTAAAAGTCTGATTTCCCCTCTTTCACTGTGAAATAATACAGTATTCAATTTACTTTTTTTTCCATAATTGAAACCAGAGCTGGGTCGATTTAAATCAGTTGATTTTTAAAATTTTTTAATCAATTTGATTTTAAAAATAAAAATCAGTGATTTAAATCACTTTTCAAAAAAATGTATTCAGTTTTTACATATTTATACTTTCAGAATTCCATTCCTTGGTTTTATTTTAAACGGATATAAGGTTTAGTAGACTAATATAATCATGCTTAAAAGCTACTTCCCCCCCCTGTCACTGTAAAATAATACAGTTCTCAATTTACTTTTTTTTCATAATTGAAAACCAGGGTTGGGTTGATTTAAATAGGGTCGATTTAAATCAGTTGATTTTTAAAAAATTTAAATCAACTTGATTTTAAAAATAAAATTCAGTGATTTAAATCACTTTAAAAATGTTTTCTGTTTTTACATCTTTAAACATTCAGAATTCCTTCCCTGGGTTTTATAAAACAGATATAAGGTTTAGTAGACTAAAATTGTTTAAAAGTCTGCCCCCCACCCCCCTGTCACTGTAAGTAGTAAAATAATACAGTATCAATTCACTTTTTTTTCATAATTGAAATTAGCATTTTCTTTTTCTTTTTAGACAAACACAAGCACGTGCTCACACACACACTGTAATAAAAATAAAATAATAAAATGCAAGTTTATCTATGCATAATTACCCCCCCCCCCCCCCCCCTTCCTTTTAGACTGACATTTTCTTCATTTTTTGTCTGTAGCCATAATTCACTGATAGCAGATTAAGGCTTTCTAAAATTGCAGTTGTTTAAATTGATCATTAGTTAAAATAAAGACAATGCATTTTGCACTAAAAGAACATACTTTTAGCCACCAAAAATCCCAAACTGAGTCATCATTTTAAAAAAAAATTTAAAATAAAAAAAATCCGATTTAAATATAAAAAATCTGATTTAAATTTAAAAAATCGATTTTTTAATATTTTTATAAAAAAAATCAAAAAAATCACCAACCCTGGATCTAGACCTAGATCTAGATCTAGATCTAGGCCAAACTTCATAGTCGCGAAAGAATTCGAGAACCCTTTTCTCGGCTGGGTAAGAGTACAGCACTGTACTTTTACGTTTTCCTTCAAGTCCTTTTTCAACATGGAAAGCAATGCTAGGCCTATTCAAGGAGGGATCCCGCAGGATGAGACGTCCATCTCCGATGGCAACGACAACGAATCAAGTGAGCAGCGAGAAATGAGAAGTCCCCAAACAATCTATCCTGTTTGGGTGCTTGAACCAAAGCCACCCTAAACAACAACGTCAAGTTATGATATTGTGAGTAAGCTTATAACGGCTTTTATAAAGCGAGAAGTCAGATAAGTTCGAAGTTTACAAATGTAAGCTGGGTGTCTTTGTACTAGATCTAGGGTTACAAACCATGTGGATCTGTTTTGAGACAGAATACTCAGCACGCTTGAGACGAAATTTTGATATGCTGAAGGCCAAGGAATGACTAAAACAGACCCACACTAAACTTGGATTCAAACAAACCCAACTTCGGCATAGATCTAATCTACCTAGATCTGGATCTAGATTAGATCTAGATCTAGATCTAGATCTAGATTCTATATGTATTTTCTAGACGTCTGCAAATCTGCTCAACTTCATTCAGATGGAAATTGTATTCCGAACGATCCTTTCAAAA